TGATTTAAAGCATGGTTTTTCAGTTTGTAATTCTTAGAACTGCTACAAATGCATTTGAACAAAATAAATCAATCAAAAATTCTTGGTGACCAACAAATTAATTCTATTTTACTTGATAATTGGATATATTTGAGCTCTTATTTTGTTGACTTCTTGTATGAAGTAGCCTTTAATCTAGCTTGAGTTATTCTATTCTTGATTGATAGAACTAAAAGGTGAATCAGTAACAAACATAACCTGCAAGGAATCGTTAGTTGTAGATTACAGCTTTAGTTATGTGCTTTTTTTGTAAAATTTTTCTGATGTAATTATGTGTGAATGTGACAGGTCAATCCCCAGTTTTATGCATTCAGGTGGATTACACTCCTTTTGACACAAGAATTCAATTTTGCAGACAGTCTCCTAATATGGGACACACTCTTGAGTGACCCTGATGGTCCTCAAGTAAGTCAATATCCTGATCAATTCTTTCTATTTCGAAATTTCTCATTCATCTGCCAATACACATAATGTGTAATAGAGCATTTTACGGCAGAAATTTTGTGTGAAAAAAGTTAATAGATAGCAAGAAAATTATCTCTTATGTAAAGCACAAAGTGAGGGAAATGTGATGCCAACAAAATCCATCCCCCACTCTTGTAACCCTTTCAGTTAGCCTTTGCTTATTTCTTATTTGTTCCTTAAACACGTTTAGTTTGATTTTCTTTACCAGAAGAAAGCTGCATGTGCAACTACTACATACTTTATATGTTTACTTTATCTTCACTTCGTCCGTCGCATTTATGTACTGAAAAGTCTTCCTTTGTTACCTCTTTTTATTAATTCAATCTTGAGAGATGTGGCTTTCTTTTTTTGACACATCCCAGTTGGGCCTGCAGTCTTTCTATGTTTTAATAGACAAAATTCTGGTAGTTTTTCGACCACCTGTCCCTTTAAAGTTTTTCAGGATGCGTTTACTTAAGTTTTATTTAGTTTTACAGACTTCAAGTTATAAAGAATCTCGTTCCATCACTAGCGCTCGAAATAATCGGTAGAAAACGTAGGGGAGCATATTTTCATTGTTTTGGCACCATGAAAGTGTCTTACCATGAAAGTGTCTTGAACTGAACCATCTTTCGATCAACTTCTCTTAGTTTAACATATATCTAATGTGTATTTTTGTCTTTAACCTGTATTTTCAACTCTCTGCGGGTCTGAAGAGAAATAATACATGATATTGCTTTTTCTTTTGCTTCATCTCTCTTTATTAAATTGCAGGAGACACTGCTCAGAATTTGTTGCGCCATGTTGGTTATCGTGCGGAGGCGGTTACTTGCAGGCGACTTTACGTCTAATCTTAAGTTACTCCAACACTATCCATCGACAAATATAAGCCATCTGCTCTATGTTGCCGAGAAGTTGCGTACTCACAGCGCAGGCTAAGTTTTTGAATCACAGATTTTCTAGTATTGTTTCATTGTCATCGTTTAAAATGGTACTACTTGTAAAATTTTCGGGATGTAAATTTAATGCGAGTCGTTCTTAGATATCGTTTTCGGGTTAATACTTTCGACCTGTGGCCAGGTTGTGTATTGTAGATTTTTGAACATTTTGAGATTCAGACATGATAGCTGATTGTTGTGGTTTTTGTTGGAATCGTTTTGCTTCCTTTCACTTGTAGAATCATAACGCAATCACTTTTTTTTCAAATTAAGCCCATATTTGAGCTCCATTTTTAAATTCTTTTTTATTTTTATTTTTTGTTTTCTAAGCTTAATTTCAATTATACATTTTTTCAGTAAATTTGCAGATAATCTACTCTAGGGGTTATATATATACACACTCGAAGACATTAATAAATTAAAATTTTTCATTTTATTTAAAAAACCGAGATTTCAAATAATTTCAATAAAATAATTCTTTAAATGCAATTTAAATATAATAATTAATTGCACAAAAGAAAGTATCAAATGCACGTGAGGTGGTTTTTTGCGATTGAATCATAGGGGTTAAGCTACTCTTTTGAATATAAAATATATAATGAAATGGTGATTATATTACCATCACAATTTTTATTTGATACCACATTTTAATTGCATTAAACATTTCAATCTTTGCTCATTGTAACAATTCTTACTTTTTGTCGAATTATTATTTTCAACATTCCATTAATTAATGTATCTCGTCCTTAAAGACAATTTATATTAAAATAATTTGCTTTCATGCTTGAAAGGAAGAAAAAAAAATATTTGTTCATACTTTTTTTGTTTTTTTTAAAATATGATGGAAAAATAAGTTGTTATACGTTATTTCAATGGACTTTTTAAACATAAAATATTATCTAATACAAAATATATTAACTAATGAAGAATTTGAATTTAAGAATGCCATGAAAAGTCGTTACGGATATAAATGTTATAATGAGTGAAAATTGAGAAATCCAAGTGTAATTAATATGTGATGCAATAAACAAAAATTGTGGTGTGAATATAATTTCCAATAATGAAATTAGTGAATGTGTTTACAAATCAATCTTACGACATAGGTTCGGATCATGCATGTCGGATATTTTATTATTTTTTAACTTTTTTATTTTTCGATTGTTGTCTAGTATTATCTGAAAACATAGTGGAAATGGCAAGAATGGTGTGAATTAAATTGGTTCGTTTTAAGAAGAAGAACGATCTTTAACTCTTTTAATTCCTACTTCTTGAATTTCTTTATGATTTTTCATGTCATAAGCCTATGGATGTGTAAATTAAAGACTTTGTTGTCTCAGTTCTGTTGAAAAGTATTCCAAACTAAACAAATAAACACAAATTGCTCTAAATTATGCACTCCTCGAACCGCTTTGATGAATTCTATAACAAGAAAATAAAAACTCGGGCTCATGCACCCAGGGCCAGCCCTGATATTTTAGAGGCCTTATGCCAATTTCAAATCGAGGCCTTATATTTTGAGTTTTCTTGTATAGAGTTTTGGCCCATTTAAATCCTTGTTTAAGCCCCATTTTTTCATTAAATTACATTTTTCAACAGTATTTTGATACCGTTTTAGCCACATATTTTTCAATAAAATAATATTACATGCAAATTCAAACGTTTGCTACACATTCTTAATTATAATATTATTTCAAAATGTATTTTTTAGAAAAATGGAGCTCCAACAACCCCTGAAATCAAATTTTTACTAGATAGAAGTAGATAAAATATGTGAATTTAAAGTTTTGGAACTCATAAAATATGTGGTTAAATTTAATTGTTGATTTTGACTTAGATTAAAATCTACCAAAGAGGGCTTAATATAATTATAAAGAATCTAACACAAACAACTAAGCCCCAAATTTGAAGAGAAAATTAACAAAATGTTAAATTTCAACCAATAACACAAATTAAATTAAAATTTTGTATTTCAATTTTTATTAGCTCATTATGTTTGCATACGTAATTTTATTTTCAAAATTTCATAAATATAATTTTCATTTTTCTTCAACCAACCAATTAACTTTACATATTTTGACGCCCTCACTAGGCCTTAGGCGATCGCCTACTTCGCATATACTCAGGGCCACCACTGCATGCACCATGAAGTTCAGCATAATACACAAATATGACAAAGCGATCCATCTGAATGACTATCTTCTAACTTACAAACCACTTAGGTTACGTATTAATTCTTCAATTATTTCCATTGTAGTGTACGAAGACTTGTTTGAGCCACATTCTTAATAATAATAATAATAATAATAATAACAATAAAAAATTATAAAAAAATATCTTTTTTTAGAAATTCATTTTCAAGTACACAATCGCCTAATAAAATAATTTTACACGTAAATCCAAAAAACTTTCTTACTTTTTAACCACACATTCTCCAAAAAATCACCATTACAAAATTTATTTTCCCAAAAAATGGAGCTCAAACAAATCCTAAATATGCCCTAAATTTTGGATATGTCGTATGAAAGTTTCTCCAGCATATGAGACTTTTTCTATAATTCTGGTGCCACTCATTTTGTTACTTTCATGCTTTGCCCAGTTTCGATCAATCCACAAGATACCAGAAAATTTCATGAGTTTGGGGTTGGAGAATTTTTTGGATTCAACCTTATATTTTTCCATTAAAAAAATTAAAAATCCAAGACTTCTAGAGCTATTTTACCATTTAAGAAGATGTGCTCCAATGTTTCTTCTTGAAAAACAGCATTGGCACTTACAAGATTATTGCCAAACCACTTTTCTTCTTCTTCTTTTTTTTTCATGATAATTTCGTCAGGGGGATATTATATCTTTTTTTTTTCCTGATAGTTTCATCAGTGAGAATCCACTTGTTCCACAATATCCAGGTAACAAATGAGATTTTAGGAGGAATAATCTTGTTCAAAATTTCTATATACGTGTAAAACATTAATATTATATGTGTATTTGCCCTGAACTATTAATTTCTCCCATTTCAAAATTTAATTTGTATTATTATTATTATTATTATTATTATTATTATTATTATTATTATTATTATGTTTTTCTTTTAAGTTATTAAATTCCTTAATTTTGTCACTTGATAAGGTGCACATCAGTGGCACATAGACAACTAAAGCTAAAAATCCTAATTTTCTTCTACTATCAAACAAAGTTCTCGACATTAATCGCCCTTATGTCATAGATGATTAATTTGTCGACATATTAGCTAATATGTGCAATGTGTTATCAATGTGATTTAGGTGATTTTCATTTGATTTTATGTAATGATCTAAGTTTTTAGATTAATTGATTCATGATGATAGAGCAGGTAAATGTTTTGAGTTCAAGTCTTGTCATCACCCATTTATTTAAAAATGTGCACATGTAAAGCTTTAATACGAGAAGGGACGTGTTGACAATAGTATTTAAATGGTATTATCTAACAATTTAAACTTGTAAATGAATTAGTTCAACACAACCTATGTGCACTTCATTGGGATTTCTATTCAGATTGCAAGTTAATGCTTAGTGCACTTTTGTTGCAGGGTGGTTAGATAAGATTTTAGTCTACTTAACTTCAATGGCCCCTTGATTTCTTTAAAATCTCTGGTTTCAAAAACATCAAACGAACAAGAATTATAATATTGAAAACTTCTTTGATGCGGTTTCTAGTACGGCGTTCTAGAGAACACCATCTTTTGATGAGGTGCAATGAAGAGCCTATTTGATTTGGATTAAAATTTTAATTTAAATTAAAGTCAAACAATTAATATTAACATCTTTCATGGATTCCATAACTTTTCAATCATACACTTCAAAAACTTTTATCAAAATTTATTAATAAAAATCTAATTTTATTTTTCATCAAACACCCTCGAAATATGTTAATAGCAAGCAAACTCTACAAGTTTGATAAGTAAAGAGCATATTTGGGAGTATTTTTGAGTGATTACAAGGTGTGGGTCTTACAAATTATGTGAATAATTATGATCAGGTAGTTATGTTTGACAAGTTTAAATTATAATTTAAAACTTTACGAAACATGCACCAAGTTTAGGCAAATGAAACCATGTCAGAATATGATGAGATCAAAACTCAAGGCGAGTAATTATTTTCAAATTTCATGCTCATAATCTTCTTTCTAGAACTGTCACTAATTGTGTATTTACTTAAACACGCATAACAGATATTAAACGAGTTCCTATGGTTAAAAGTAATATGATCTTCGTGTTTAAATATAATATGTGATGGGGATTATACTTTCAAATCTTGCTCATTTCTAATCTCGATTATTTTGTTCTCTCATCTTTTGTTTAAAGAGACGATGAGGATTGTACTTGACGAATCCTTTTTATTAAATGTTCATCCTCCAACAGAAACTTACAAGAAAAGTAAAAAACATTTAAATCTCACCACCAGTATGGCGTCAACAATGATAGGTGGTGACTAGCGATGGTGGTCAGCGAGGACCCCAAACTAAGACTACTTATTTATAGGATTGTACTAATCGCAAACCTACAGAGTAAACTCTAACCCACATGAGCAAAATAGGAAATTAATCAATTAGATGGAGGCATGTCGGATGGAACAAGGCATTTTGAACCATATAATGTTGCTACTGGAATGAAATGTGGAGAACAAGCAAAGCGAATTCCAATGATTTGAGATCTGGGGATAGCGCATTGAGCTAAGGAGCCTCTAGGTTGTGAGGCGATAGTGCCTGCTGTCAATAGGTAGCTCATCCCTTGAAATTGGTCCTCCGGATTTCAACTCCCCAACACTTCAAAAAATATGGGCTGAAACTTCCTTCTGTTTCTAGAATCTTCATCCCCACTCACTGAATGAATGTAGAAAACCGATCCTTAAGCTAGTCTAGCTTCTGGAGTTAGAGCTTCGGTCCATAAATAATATGTTTAGTGTAGTAATTAAACCAATCAACAATTGGCCAAAAATACTAATAGTCACCTAGTACTATAATGCACCAAGAGTTTAGATGAGTCCTCTTTGAGCAGACAGGGCTTACATCGGGTTAACCCGGCTTGCTACTTTACCGGGTTAGAAAAAGCCCAAATTTTACCGGGTTAAAAAGGCCCAAATTAATAAATTTGGAATTTCAGGTACTATAAATACAGCAATTTTGTCTTGCGCCCCCGCCTCCACACTTCCTCTTTCCTTCTATGCAATGTATGGACAGCATCCTCTCTTACAGCCCGGTGCCGGAGGTGGCCGTGGCCGTGGGGTGGCACCACCGACACAACAAGGACAATACCTCAATCCTAACATATTCTCAAATCCCAACCTTTTCCACCTCCAACAGACCCCCAACTTATTGCCTCACCTGAACCCCTTCCTTCAAAACCCTAGCAATTTCCAATTCGAGCAAAATCCTAGCAATTTTCCGCCAATTCCACAAATCCCCACTAATAGTTTCCCAATTCTGCAAATTCCGAATACTTATTGTTCGACGGTTAGTCCTAATAATAATAATAATACCCGCAGCAAAAACTACAACAAATTCCCGCAGCAACAGCATCCTCAAGATAAATTACATAACGAGGCCATTGAAAGAGTTGATAGGGCAGTTGTGAAGGCTCGTGGTGACCTTTTGGCTTCGAAAGAGAATGTTTCGGCTTGGAAAGTGTCGCAGGGTGCGTTACTAATGGTAAAAGCGGATTCTTGGGAGTCCTTGGGGTTTCAGATGCAGCAAGTGCCCACTCTAAACCACCTCTTAGTTACTGAAGGGAAGGTACGCGAATCAAACATTGAAGTTCGTTTCCCTATGTTGCATATGTTCCTCTCCTGGTCGTCCAAATTCCTGTGTGTTTGGAACTTATATTTTTTATGTTAAAAAAATTATGAGCATGTTTGAATTAGCTTAAAAATTTCAGTAGAATTAGCAAGGTTGCTTTTTTTGTGTAGTATGCGAGGGTTAAGTGTCCTTAAAACTAGTTTTGTGTTTGACGTTGGGATCCACCATATATAGACAATGCTTTTGAACCTTTGTTATCAAGAGCATCAAATCGAACTTTGAGTTCTTAGTTGTTAAAGAAAAATTTAATTCATTGTTAATCTGTCAATTCATACACCTGTAGATGTGCGCTTGCATAGATATTTATATATACGAATAATGCTATTTATCTGCATTAGTGATGATCACCTGTCTGTGGCAGGTAGGTGATGTTCTATGAAATGATAAGTCCAGTTAAATGTATGGAGATGAGATCTACTCAATTTGTCTTATCATTTAATACCTCATCATGTGCATCTGTTATGGAGATAAATAGCATTACTTATGCGCACATATATACATCTGTGGAATACCTTTTCTGATTCGTGCTTATCTTTTCATTTTTCCTTGTGAAGGTTAATGCCTTCATCCACTGCTTTGTTGCTGTTAGAAGAATTACTTCTTTGTATGATTTGGATGTGGCAATCTGCAAGAGCGAGGGCATTGAACAGTTTGAAGAGCTAGAATTGGGCCCTTTGGTAAGACATCCACTGGCCATGCATTATTTTTCTGTCAGTTCTGATGTGGCAGAAGTACACAGAATAACAAGCGAAGAGATAATTTCGTACCTTTTCGAGTTCATGGATACACAAAAAAGGAAACTTAAGGTTGATGCTTTCTTGGATTTTATTGCGAAGAAGCAATCTGTCTCCAACAGGGAAAAGCTTTGCGTGCGTATTCAGAATTTGAGGTATGTAAATGCTATTTTTTATTTATTTATTTTTAGCAGAATCTGAATTTAAATTACATTTTTTGCGTTGTACCCTCATTTCTTAGTATAAATAATACATAGTCTATATAAAAGGTCACTATCTGATGTTCTTTTCTAGAGAGTTTTGAGTTATCCGTTATGAAGTGTGAATTTCTGAGACAAAAGGATTGAATTCTCACATATTTTTCACAAGTACAACAAGGTACATATACAAGGTGATGGTGGAATCTGCCATCATAAAATCTGGACTCAATCAGCCCTAATTGGGGAGTGGATCTCCAAAAATCAAGGAATGTCACTAAACTAGGAACAAGATACCAAAAATAACTGTAACAAATCCCTACAATTCCTCACTAACTTTACGCTATAATTCTACACTCCCCCTCAAGCTGGGCGTAGCTATTGTATATGCACAGCTTGTGACTCAGTACTTCAAAGTTAGTTCGTGGAAGAGCTTTAGTCAGTATATCAGCTGTTTGGGATCTTGTAGGAGTATAGATCAACTATACAATCACCTTCTCAATTTTTTTTGAGATGAAATGTCAATCTATCTCAATATGTTTCATCCTATCATGATGCACCGGATTGTTTGCAATACTTATGGCAGCTTGATTGTCGCAGAATATCTTGATTGGCTTTGTAGTAGTTACTTCCAACTCACTTAGCAGTTTCTGTATCGAGATTCCTTCGCAAATACCAAGAGCTAGAGATCTAAACTCAACTTCTGCACTGCTTCTTAAAACCACTGATTGTTTCTTTCTTTTCCAAGTGACGAGATTTCCCCATACATATGAACAATATCTAGATGTTGATCGTCTGTCTGTCACGTCTCCTACTCAATCTGCATCTGAGAAAACTTTAACATCTCTTCTATCATTCCTTTTGCACAACAGTCCTCTTCCTGGTTCATCTTCAGATACCTCAAAATTCTATTCACCGCTTCCATGTGTTCTTCTGTTGCATTGTTCATAAATTGACTCACAACATTAACAGAGAATTCAATGTCAGGTCGGGATGAGAAAGATAGATGAGACGTCCTACAAGTCTCTAGTATCTCCCCCTATCAACTGGTGCACTATCCTTCTCAGTTCCTATCTTCTTGGTTGAGTCCATTGGGGTATCTGCAGATTTACATCCTAGCATACCTATTTCTTTTAGTAAGTCTAGAACATACTTACGTTGGGATACAAATATCCCTTTCTTAGACCGAGCCACCTCCATTCCAAGAAAATATCTGAGCTGGTCGAGGTCTTTTATTTCAAATTCTTTTGCTAAATGCTTCTTCATTTCCGATGGTTCCTCTTCATAATCACCTGTTAGGATTATATCATCCGCATACACTATTAGGATTGCTATTTTCTTTTTCTGAAGAGAACTTCATGACTAGAGTGTGATCTGCTTGTCATTGAGCTAAGAAGCACCGACACGGACACGAGTGTCCGACACGATACGTGTCCGACACGTCGACACGCTATTTTTCCAAAATGTTCCGACACGATACGTCTTCGACACGTTGATTAAAATATTAATTTTAATTTATTTTAATAATTAAAAATAATAATAATTTTTTTTTATACTTACTGCATCTTGTATATAAATAATTAAATAATAAATATAAATAAAATATGATATTAAATTCATATATGAAGGGTAAAATAGTAAAAAATTAATTAACATAAAATCTTGAATGTTGTTTAAAGTTGAAAAAAAGTAATGCATACTGCAAAAAAATGTGTACAATGCATTAATATGACTAATATACTACAAAGTGCATTTAATATGTTGGGTCCACTGAACCAGCAGCCTGCTTTGAAAATTATAGCCTACTTTGAAAATTACTCCAACACAGACAGGTACTGTCTTCTCTCTCGTCACTTCTCTCTTTCTCTTCTTCTTCTTCTTCTTCTTCTTCTTCCTTTCTTCTTTCTTCTTTCTTCTTTCTTCCTTGCCGTTACCGGAGCAGCAGTGTAGCCAACACAGGTACCGTTTTCTTCCTTCTTTCTTCACTTCTTCACCGTTTCCTTCCAGTTCGACACGCCGCAAGGAACCCGACACGTGTCGGCGACGTGTCTCCGACGTACCCGTGTTCGATACGTGTCGGACATCGACACGCCGATGCCGGAAGCGTGTCGGTGCTTCACAGTCATTGAGTATATCCCTGCTTAGTTACTGACTTTGCAAACTTATCAGACCATGCTCGAGGTGATTGTTTGAGTCCATGCAGGGATTTCTTAAGTTTGCACATCCTATTGTGACTGAAAGAAGTTTCCAGTCCTAGTGGTATCTCCATATATACTTCTTCCTCCAAGTTACCATTTAGAAAAGCATTTTTGACATCTAGTTGATGTAGTGGCCAATCTTGATCTGCTGCAAGGGAGAAAAGGACTCTAATGGTGTTGAGCTTGGCCACTGGAGCAAAGGTTTCTTGATAGTCTATTCCATAGGACTGAGTAAATCCTTTGGCAACAAGGCGAGCTTTCAACCTCTCAATGCTTCCATCAGCCTTATGCTTAATCGTAAAAATCCACTTACACTCAACTGGCTTCTTCCCAGGAGGAAGATCACAGATTGCCCATGTGCGATTCTTTTCCAAAGCTTTAATTTCTTCATTAACAGTCTTTCTCCATTTTGGATCTTCGAGAGCCTCCTAAATAGACTTAGGAACTTGTACACTATCAAGTGCCGAAACAAAAGCCTTGTAGGACGGTGATAATCCATCATATGTAACAAATCTGCAAATAGGGTGTTTTGTGTAGGTTCTAACACCCTTTCTTAAAGCAATCGGAATGTTTAAATCATCTATAAGTGGTGCTGCATTTTCAAGATCAGAGGTTTCCTTACCTGAGTGAATTTGAGCAGAAATTGTACTCGGTTGAGATTCTTGGTCGTATGTGAGAGGAGTTTGCTGCTCGATCGTTCTCTTGGGCATTCTCTTTCTAGTATAGACACGAAGCTCATGATTTGCAGTTTGTGGTGTTTTAGAGTGATCTTGAACCGGAGTTTGCGGTGGGGTAGTAGGAAGATGACTCTCGGGTTCAGATTGTTCAGTTTGTGGTGGTTCAGCCACTGGATGTTGGATTGAAATTGGTTTAATGGCCTTGGGTTTTGACTAACACTTGTTTGAGAATTAGGTGGAGGTAACTGTAGGGTGTCCCCATGACCAAGTGTTTCCCAAAACTGATATGCTCTCATATTCTCCCCCTACATGTCGGTTTTGTGATGGTAGGATTGGTGTTCAAAAAATGTCACATCCATAGAGTTATATACCTTTTTGGTGATAGGAGAGTAGCACTTATAACCCTTTTGGCGTGAAGAGTACCCTATAAAGATACATTTAATGGATTTGGGGTCTAATTTGCTGCTGTGTTGCTGATGTATGTGTACAAATGCTGAACACCAAAATACTTTTGGATCCAATGAAGAGATGAATTTTGTGTGAGGAAAGATCTGGATGAGGAATTGACTTGGAGTTTAGAATTTAAGGATCCTGGAGGGCATTCTATTGATGAGGTATGTGGCTGTAAGTACAACCTCTCCCCAAAAAATGCTTAGGAACATGAGTGGAAAACATGAGACAACTAGCTACCTCTAAAAAATGCCGGTTTTTCCTTTCTGCAACCCCATTTTGTTGAGGGGTGTCAATACAGGAACTTAGGTGTACTATTTCCTGACTTAAGAGGTAACCACCCAAAGTAGAATTGTAGTACTCTTTGGCATTATCAGTTTTGAGAACTTATGAAATTGAAGTTTTCAAAAATTTGGCCAACTTCAGATTTTTCTTTCATTAGGAATACCTAGGTCAATCTAGGGTGATCATCAACAAATGATACAACCATCGTGCTCCAGTTATATTTTTTACTCTTGAGGGTCCCCACACATTGCTATGAATAATTGCAAATGGTTGAGATGGTTTATATGACAGATTGGAGTAATTACTTCGAGTGTGTTTTGCAAGTTGGTAGATTTCACAACTGAAATGATTTGGACTTTTATTGATGAATAATGATGGAAACAATTTTTTAAGATACACGAAATTTGGATGATCAAGACGAAAATGCCATAAAATGACCGCATTATCTTTATTGATAGGAATTTAAAATTGACTGGCTTTTAAACGAAACACGACTTGCATTTTGAGCTTGTCTTCTTAGAGAAGTATTACCATTGAGAAGGTCCAGAACACATCTCAGCACTGCCAATCATCCTCTCCGAATCCAATTCCTGAAATTCACACAAATTTGAGAAAAACTTAGCTTCACACTGGAGATCACGAGTTAATTTGCTGATTGATAGTAAATTACAATCCAAATTAGGAACATGTAGAACAGAGTTTAAGATCAGGTCATTTGTAACCCTGATTGAGCCTATTCTAGCAATTTTGGATAAAGACCCATCAGCAATCCGAACTGTGTATTGCCCTGGGCTGTATTCATGAAATAAGGTTCCATCTCCTGTCATGTGGTCTGAGGTTCCGGAGTCGATAATCCATGGATTGAGTCCCTTTTTTTCACTGTAAAGGCGTTTGAAACATTACCTCTTTGTGCTAACATGCCTATTCTAGAGGTTGAGTTACTTGACTGAGATAGGGAGTTTGGACTTAGGAGTTTCTGGAGCATCTCAAGCTGTTCTTTGGTGAAAGGACTGGTTTCAGTTGAGGCTGGCTTTTCTTCTATTGCAGTAACATTATGGGCTCGACCTTCTCTATTATAGGCTGGTTTAGATGGCTTCCGATCAGCTGGTTTGCCATGAAGTTTCTAGCAATTTTCTCTGTGATGTCCTGATTTTCGACAATAGTCACACCAAGGTTTTCTCTTTCTCTGAAGATTTTCACTATTGGTGTTTGATGGAGGGCCTCACACTGCAAGAGTAGATCCTTCGAGAGATGGAGTAGAATTTTGAGATCCCATCATAACCTTTTTCCTACTTTCCTCACGGCGAACTTCTGAGAAGGCCTCTCTGATGCTTGGAAGAGGTTTGGTGCTCATTACTCTCCCTCTCACCTCGTCCAGATTCTTGTTGAGGCCAAGGAGAAATTTAAATGTCTGCTTCTTTTCCACAATTTTTCGATACAGCACAGTATCTTCAGGGCACATCTAGGCATGAACTTCAAACATGTTGAGCTGCTGCCAATGACGATAAAGGGTGTTGAAATATTGGGTAACAGAGAGATCTCCATGTCGAAGGTCGTGTAAGGTGGATTCAATCTCAAATATTTCTGATGTGTTTTCAGAACTTGAGTATGTCTCCTTTGCAGCATCCCAAATTTCTTTGGCAGTCCCAAAGAGGAGAAAATTCTCTCCTGTGTTGTTTTCCATTGAATTAATCAACCAAGACATCACCATGTGATTCTCGGCTTTTCATATTCTGAATTTTGGATCGGTCTTCTCAGGGATGATGGCTTCACCAGTGAGATATTCATCCTTCCCTTTTCCACAGACATAAATCATCACTGACTGAGACCATTGGAGAACATTATGGCTGTTGAGTTTGTGGCCTGTGACGAGCAGAGACGGATTTTCGGCTCCTCCATGACTATTGATCACTGATGTCATTTCTGGATTAGAGGTCACTTTAGATATCGAATTTTGTCTCTTAGCAGCCATAATGAATTTTGTGATTTGGGAAATTAGGGTTCAGAGGGAAGGCTCTAATAGCATGTGAATTTCTGAGAAAAAGGATTGAATTCTCACATATTTTTCACAAGTACAACAAGGTATATATACAAGGTGATGGAGGAATCTGCCATCATAAAATCTGGACTCAATCAGCCCTAATTGAGGAGTGGATCTCCACAAATCAAGGAATAGCACTAAACTAGGAACAAGATACCAAAAATAACTGGAACAAATCCCTACAATTCCTCACTAACTTTATGCTATAATTCTACGTGAAGGGTGTTTCTATATAACCCAAGGGTATATCACTGTTATTGTAATGCTTTCCCATTTTGGAACATCCCGAGAGAACACTTTTGTGATGGTTGACATTTTGTAGCTATTATTTCTGCAATGAAGCAGTAGAATCTGTCATTATCATCATAGCATTTGATCATCTATGGTGAATTGTGTTTTAGATCCATCTTTAATATTACTACTAGATATTCCATTTATAATGACAACTTTTGTTTCTCTATTCATAATGGCTTTGAATTCTGCATTATAGAACATATGCTACTCACATTCAACAAGCAAGACAATTAGAAGATCGAGCACTAGAAAAATGCCTCGAGAAAATGAAAAAGGAATCTGCTAAAGGGGGCAGGAAACGCCCACTTTTTTCTGCACAGAAAAAGCAGATGGATGACCATTTTGGTTCAATATCCCAGCGTATCAAACTATTTTCCTCGAAAAATAAGAAGTTTTGTGGTAAACACATAAGATTTGTATCTTCAAGTTCAGAAGATGATGTTAGCGTTGATAGTGAATGTGAAGATAATCAAAATGAGAACAATTCACCCAGCAACTGCAGTACTTTACTCCCAAATCTTAGAGCAGATCGAGTCAGTAGTTGTCCTTATCCATCAGCAGCTGAAGAAATGACTCGGCTGGGTTTGAAAAGCGCTGTAGATGGTAGCTCCTGTGCTCCGAGTGACAGTGTAAGATGTAGTGATGATATTGAGTCATCTCAAAGAAAGAGAAAATCTGAAAATATTAGTTTCAAAGCCTCTTCTCCTCAGAAGCTGCTTAAAAGAGAGAAGTTCGACACAGATATCAAGCGAAAAAGTTTTAGCAATCAGGGCACAAATGATTATTTACTTGCCAATGATTCGTTAAGGATGTTCATTACCACTTGGAAGGAGGCATGCCGAGGGAACAGTGTAGATGAGGTAATGTGGCTTAGGTTACATATATGATTAAAAATTAAGACGAGCTGTAATGCTTGTATTCTCTGTTTCAATTTTCTGCACTCTCTTCTTTCTTCATTTTAGTAAGCTTTTGTTAAAATATGTCTGTTTGGATCTTTTTCTTCCTTTTCAATGTAGAATTTCAGATTTCATTTTATTCCTTCTTGTTTGTGTAGGTTCTTGAGAGAATGCTTCTAACATACAATACAAGGAAAAAGAAGAAAGTCAAAGCATTGTTTACATCATACCCCTGTGTTGGATTGCTAAACGTTGCAGTAAGTATATGACAGACTAACTTTTGTAGTTCGGTAACCCCACACAATATTTACTTAAAACTCAAGCTGAAATTTCCTCTGGTTATATCTTGAACATGCTTTGGCTGAACATGCAATTGACTATAGATTCTATTATATTATTAAAAAAAATTCCGTAACTCCATGCTTTTCTGGGGAAAATCTGATTTAATTTGCACCATAAGGTTCCGTTGGTTGAAGTATCAAATCAATATAAGTTCTGTTCTAGTAATGATCGGAACAGTGATAATTTGTCTTTTGCGACATGTTTTCCAAGGTGGATTGAGCCTTGGTTAGTAATTTTTCTTATGCCAACATAAATATCTCCCCTAGTCACCTGACATTCTATTGGAGCTTGAGTCTGAATGTTCATTTATATGAAGAAGTGTGATGTATATTACTGGCAAATCATTGGCTTTTTTCCAATGCTCCTTGTTACGGTAAGGTTGGATTATTTCGTATGTAAAATGGGGAGGTGATAGATGGGTGATGATTTAATTGGTGATATGTATCACTCAACTCATAAAGTGCATACTTCCTGGAGTACTGTTTTGACCACATTTGAGTATATTCGGGATTGATTGTAAGTTCATCCGCATCGTTCAGGTCTTCTTTTTTCGTCTAGTTAACTTAAATATTTCAGAAACGTTTTCAACACAATTTTTTTTCCTAATGTAAATTTGTATGTGGCTCTAAACTCTGCAAATGAAGCAAATGTCAATATATTTTTGTAGTGGCTCTTATGTGATGCAGGACAAATATAGTAGCACTTTTCCTTGATAGAGGACCAAAAAAAATTATGCATGCTCAGAACGCACGTTTTGGGCCTTAGGTCTTTTCAACACTAAACTATTTGCAATACTGTGGTTGTAAGATAAAGCACCGACATGTCAACAATTAACTTTTCAAAAATGTAGGACATGATGTGCAGACACTTCTATGGCCCCGTATGGTGCCTATTTTTTTCAAAATGCATTTCTCTCTCTTCTTTTTAACCACACATTCTTTATTAAAATAATATTACACGTAAATAAAAAAAATTTCCTTATTTTTCAATCACACATTTCCCATCAATTTACTATTTAAAAATGTATTTTTACATAAAAATGTCTTCCAAACACCCTTTATATAAAATTATATATTTATGAATGTTATATTATATTTTTGAATACTTTTTATTTCTCAATAAAATAAATACTTTTTTTAGCTTTGGTTTTTAACTTGCAAATGAAATTCTTTCAACTAGAGTGATTCGTGGCACTTTCTATTGCTAGCGGAATATGAATAATAATATTCATGCATCAAAAATTGCATATAGTAGTTATACACAAATTTGAAATAACGTTCCACAATTTTGTCACATCATGTTGAGTTCTGCACAAATAGCTTTATAAATTACAAATTTCTCTAATTTTTATTTTTATTTTTCTAAAGGAAGTTACAACATGTGCATGTCTGATGAGTCTTCCAATGTCGGTGCGCACTACATGTCTGACACAGACATACCCCTTAGGAGGATTTTCTTTGCTTCCTTCATGGTAGTGTTTGTCAACATGATGATGGGAATCCATTTGAGAACTATGACTTTGTTAGTAGGTTTAGGAGGTGTTGGTTGCATAAGTGGGACTGATTGTGTAATCATTGGATGATTTGTGCCATTTGTGATTGACTTTTGAATTATAAAGGGATTGGCATGTAAATTAATAATGCTTTTTCAGAATTTAAAAGAGAGCAGAATGCAGGTCTTCTGGGGAATAGGGTGATGATAGCCTGATAGGAGAGAAAATTAATACTAGCAAATAAAAAAAAGAAAAAAAGAAAAAGGAATCTACTTGGAAAATCCACCTATATTTCCCTAGGATTGTTCTCCTAGTTATTTAGTAATTGAGCATCAAACAAGTTCAAAACCTTTAGAAGCTGTATCCAAATGAGCTGTTAGGACTTCTTTACTTGACAAAGTGATAGATCTGTAGAGCATATCTTTGCCACTTTGATGTTCAAATCCTACTGGGATATGTACCCATCAAACATGGAAAACTACAGTAATCTCTTTGAATTTGAGAAACTTCTACACTGTTCGGGTGTTCTTTAAGCTGGAACAATAATGATTGAATTACTTCATTTCAACAAGATATTGCAAATGCACATCTTAAAAAATTGTAAAAATCTCAAATAACAGAATTTGAGAAACTTCTGTATTATTCAGGCATTCTTTAAGTTGGAACAATAATGATTGAGTTACTTCATTTATCACGACCAGCTAAATTCTCATTTATAATGTCAACAAAATATTCCAAATACGCATCTTGAAAAAAATGTAAAAATCCTAAATACTCTCCCTGTTTCATAAAGATAAGCTTGCTTTTTATTTTTTTCCCCGTGTGTCCCAAATTATAGTGCTGCTTCAAACAAATGTGACCAAATAAACCTAAAGTAATAAAGATACATGAAATGCTGGAGCAAAATGTGGTTGCACCAGTACATTTTTTCACAATTTCTCTCAGATCCCTTTCCATCCACTGAGGAGAGATATCTTTTGTACAATAATGGTTGTATTTTTTTTAAATCATGATCTGTTTCCCTTTGCTTGGAGATGGACATTTCGCTTCAAATGGGATGCTTAAGTTTATTTTTCTTGTCATTTTTTGGCTTATAGAAGATTCTCTTGTAAGAATATGCTGCTTTACTAATGGTCCTATATAGTGCTGCTTCAAACAAATGTGAACAAATAAACAAAAAGTAATATAGATACACAAAATGCTGGAGGAAAATGTGGTTGTACCAGTACATATTCTCACAATTCTCTCGGATCCCTTTCTATCCACTGAGGGGAGATATCTTTTGTACAATAATGGTTGTATTTTTTTTTCAATTATGTTCTGTTTCCCTTTGCTCGGAGATGGAAATTTCGCTTCCAATGGCATGCTTAAGTTTATTTGCTTCTAGTCATTTTTTGGCTTGTAGAAGATTCACTTGCATGAATATGCTGCTTTGCTAACTGTAATGTGGCTGTTACAGGTTACTTCTATGAAATTTGGAATGTGGGATAATATGTATGACACTTTTCAAGCTTTTAGCCAACAAGATTTGGCTGGCAGCATTTCCGAAAATTCAGCGGATTGCATTAGCATAGATGTTGAACAAGCTGAAAAGGACTCATCCATATCCGGGCAGATAACTCTTAAGCATGAGCATGGTGAGTCATTTAGGTACATAGTTCACATCTGCATTTTGGTATTTTTTTAATTATATTTTATGCTGCCATTTTTCTGTAATTTGGATGGTGTTCACTTAGCATTGTCTATAGCAATAAAAAATTTGCTGTAAGCAGTCAATATTTTCATATGCTTGTACAGACGAGACCACCATTTTTCTCCTGTTAAGCTATCTGAATACTTCAACTAGAGTTGGTCTGATGTAGATACGTGTTTCCAAGACATTGATTGGATTGGATCTGTCTTTGTTTTATGATTAATATTGAAAATTTGATTGTTAAAGCATAGGTACGAGTGGCCCTTTCCTGCTCTGAAAAGCATGCTTAAATGAAGAAAGCCTGATTAATAACATGTGGTTTTTTCTCTTCTTAGGAGTCACAGCTGAAGATATGGTGAAGAAACTTTCAGGATATTTTGATGAAGACATCACAAGTAATGAAAATCCATCTCGAGAAAAGAAATTTCTTTTCTTCAGGAAGCTTTCTCAGTGTGAGTCTTGGCTAACGAAGCAATATTCGGTCAAAAAATTTGAGTTCCTGGGTTATGGGGAGTATTATATGTTCTTAGAGAAACATATGCATTTGTTGCCTCGTACATTACAGAAATGCTTGATTGGCGACACAAATGAAAATCCTTTGGAGGCTCGCTTACAGGCACTTCAATTGGATGTATTGTTGTCACAAGCTTCCAATAGCTTGTGGGAAAATGAAACAGTAAGCTTGCAGAAAGTTTCTGAGTTGCTTACAAGGCAATTTCCTTTAGTATCCCTCAAATTAGTGAAAAATGATCTCACGGTAAATATCGGGCATGGTGCACGAGAAAATAAAGGCAATTTAACTTCGAAGTGTCTCTTGTTTTCTGCACCATTATTAAAACCGCGTAGTGTTAGAGACCCATTATCTCAGAACGAGAAAAAAATGCCAGAAACTTTTGGTTCTGAAATGTATGTACCCAAAGAAGGAATTTTTGGTACAGTTAGAACCAAGGATGCGATTGAGGTGTTACTTAGAGCTCCAATGTTGGCTGACTTGGATTTGTGGTCTCACTGGGACCATGTATTTGCTCCTTCTCTGGGTCCTATTGTGGAATGGTTGCTGAATGAGGTCAACAACAAGGAGTTATTATTTCTGGCCACAAAAGATGGCAAAATAATTCGTGTTGATCATTCAGCAACTATAGACTCATTCTTAAAAGTTTTCATTGAAGGATCTTCTTTTGAAACAGCAGTGCAACTACTGTCTCTGTATGTATTATATGGAGGTGAACAACACGTTCCTTTATCACTTCTAAAATGCCATGCACGACAAGCGTTTGAAGTTATAACTAACAATTTAATGGAGATGGAGTTACAGGAAGATAAGAATCCATTCGTTCACAAAAAGCCATTTTGTAATCAGCATGTATGTGATAAAAGCTCATCCAGCAATTTAACAATTAATTTACAAAAAAACAAGAATGCAATGAATAAAGTGGTTCCTGTTGCTTCAAGGTTCATACTTGATTGTCTTAGTTATTTTCCACTTGAGTTCTGCAGTTCTGCTGCAGATATATTGCTTGACGGGTTGCAATATTTTGTGAAGGATGCATCTTCAGCCATCTTGACTGCATGCGAGCAAATAGAGAAGCGTCTCATGCTTCATGAAGTGGGTATATCTCTTGGGATAGTGGAATGGGTTAATGATTACCACACATTTCATTCTTCTGTAGCAACTGAGACATTGTCCTCTGGATCTTCATTCTTAAGTGTTCCTAATTCTGAGTATAATACGGGCTCAAATATTATGCAAGATATATTGAACCAAGAACCTTCAGCTTTAGGTGAAATATTGGACTCTAGTGTGGTAGACCGGCCTGATGGATGTGCTAAACTGGTCCATAGCATAGCTGATTCAGCTGAGGGTTCAGTTGATGGTTTAGCTGTAAATCCAAAGCAGCGTTTTTCTGTACATGAGAATCATATTGATCATGATCCAGCCAGTGTTATTGAATCTATTCGGCGAGAGGAATTTGGCTTAGATCATAATCTTTCAGTTACTGAAAATAAAATGTTGGAGAAACAACATGCTCGTTTAGGCAGAGCACTCCATTGTCTCTCACAGGAATTATATTCTCAGGATTCTCATTTTCTTCTAGAGCTGGTATGTTTGCATCTACCCGTTCTTTAAAAGCTTTTTATATTTGATGTGTGCATTCCCCCTTCACCCTGGGAAAACTAAGCCCCAAACAATATTTATACTTCTCCACTTGTATCATCTGAAGCATCACATAAATTGCTGTTATTCTTGTTTGGCATATTTTTCTGATTTTTATTGTAGTTGTATGTGGTAAGAGTAATGCTATGTAGCCCTAGTGGGTTGCAACCCTAGTCTAGGTGGCAATAAATAATAAGTTAAATGAAAGGTGAAATTAAATGAATTATTTAATTCCACTTATCATTTAATGTTACATTAACGCCATCTAGATTGGGATTGTAACCCCATTGGGGCTAAATAGCATTGCTCATGTGGTAAGCAGATCATATAGCCCTGATGTTTGCTAAATTTCAAGTGATTGAAAATAAAAATAGATAGGAACTAGCACGAACTCTGTTGATAAATTCCAAATACATAAAACTAGGAACGATTAGTAGTGAGTGTTGTACAGTTGGCCACTTTTTTCTTTTGTTTCTTTCTTTCCTGATGTTTTGGATTCTTGCCTTCATTCAATTTACCTGACATACACATATATGCCTTCTTGTGCATTGAATATGGACACAAATTATGTCATGTGACTATATTACTATCTTTCAAGATGTGATATCGTCCTCTGGTGGAAGGAGAATATACGGCATTTGAGGTCTGAGTACAAAATAAACTAGCTGTCTAGGAAACCTGTGTGTTTTGTCTGACCTCCTCTCCCCATTCTTTTTCTCTTACACAAAGGGCATGAAACTCACGTGGATTGTGTTGATTTCTGAAAGAATAATAGGCCAATATGACTTATATGTTTCACCTGCAATTAATACAAGGTCAGTGTGCGTACATCGGTAAAGCAGGAAATTGGTATACTTATTGTCTATGTTGAAAATCTTGTTACTTTAATGAGTATAATTAATGAGTAGACTTTACATATAGGCCTACATTGGAGAGGGCTGAGATTTAAGTAACTCCGGACTCAGTCAGTGGTTGGGCCTGACTCCGTTCGTTCGGTTCGCCTCTCA